ATAAGTACTCTCTCTCTCTCTCTCTCTCTCTCTCTCTCTCTCTCTCTCTTTGATTTGTCAAAGAAAAAAAGCATTAATATATAAAGGCTGACATAGCATGTTTATTAACATTCAGTATCATTCAAATTGATGTTTCTTACATTTTAGGTGTCAACATGTAATGATATCAGAAGAATAAATTTCGTTTATATAAATTCGCAATATTTTAATAACAGACATAATCTAATATTAATATGTACTTCTCTCTTATTACAAACTCTGATTTTTGTATAATCTCTGAAGGCAAGTAATATATGCATGATCAATTTTTTAAGATATTTTTATTAATATTTAATAAAAATTTTATGAAGAATATTAACAAAATAGATTGAAGATCTGAATTTAGAATATTAAAATATGATTATATTTATAACAAAATAATTAATAATTATTAACATTTTAACGCATATACATATGTCCCAACATTTCATTGAATAGAGAGAAAATATAATAAATGTATAATATGTAATATGTAATTCAAGAATCCACCATCCAAGAAGATGACATAATGAAATGTTTATTTGACATATAACGCACGTCATTATGATGTTTCTGTCACTTTTATAACATATAAAGTTTTCTTTAAAATTTTCCTCCATAAGAGTTTCCTAATAAGATTTTTTAAATTGTTGAAAAATTTTTCGTGCCTGATTAATTTTAAGTGGTTTTTGAGATGCGATAAATAAATATTGGCTAGTACTGTTTTACACTCTATACATTTGTAGCCTTTTATATTACATAGATAATATTTTTCTATGACTCTTGCACGAAATTTTATGGATATTTTATCTGTCCCTGTCTGTATAATTATATTAAATATAATAACCAGGCATAATTATCTAAAAACTTTTATGTATATTTTCTTATAATGTCAATATATAACAATAATAATTGTTAACCTTATAATTAAACTGTATAAAACAGTTCATTTAGTATTATCTTTTTTCATATTAATCTTTAATAATCTATATTCATAATATATATTTAAATTATAGATATATTTTAAATGGATAATGAATTTAATCAATTTTCATTTAAGATAGCAATTAATTAGACTAGAATCTGAGATAAATCGTAAAATTAATCTTCATTATTCATTAAATAATATACAAAAATAATGGTATGTCTACAGAGCATTACAATATTATATTAATTAATTCTGCTATTTTTTCGGCAACAGTTCTAATATAATTCTACAGTTATAAATAAAAACATGGTTAATGATTAATGAATTATTCAAAAAGATAGTCTCCTCGTCTCCTTTTTTCAAATAAAAAAAAAATCACATTTCTTTCTTTTAGATTATATATCTACATTGTATTATTATCAGCTAAATTTTTTTTAAATTAGTAAATCTGCTATACTTATTAATTTCCATAAAACTATTGCTAAATAATTTGAATAATTTTCGTAATTAATTCTACATATAACAACACGTCTCTGCAATACAGAGACTCTTTCTCAATTCAGATCTTCAATTCAGATCTTTTGCCACGATATTAGTTCAATTGTGATTAAAATATTTCGGACTTAACTGATTTTGTGTATTGTGTGTTTTGTTGATTGCAGTCTGTCTTTATGATATAATTATTCATGGCCATATAATTTTTATATTCATTTGGTCTAAAGAATATAGGATATAGGATTGCACTAAGATAAACATTGACTAGTATACCATGCGGTATTTAACTTTCAAATTGAAAAGCAACAGCTATCGTTAAGAATTTAATTCAAGTGTTTCCAAAATCGATTGACATAAACTTTGCAAATTTGGTTGTGTTGTATATTCTGTATGTGTTTTTTCCAATTGTTTTAAAGTTTCTACTCCTCCTTCTCTTATCAACATCACACAATAACGTTTTGCTGAAAATAAACATATGTAATTATTAAGGATTATTAATATTTGTGTGTGTATGTGTATACACACACACATACACGCAAAAAAGAGAATTTAAAAAACTATTAAATATAATTATTCTTATATGTAATATATTAATCTTCAATAATTCAAAATATTCATATCGTTAGAATAGATTATTACATTTTATATGAAATAATCTTTTTAAACTTACGATTTTTTGTGCATACATGATGAATTGCCCATACTGCCCAGAGTTGAACAGGATATGCATCTGTACAACGTAACAATGGGAAAAATGGTTGAAAGCTACGATAGGCAACCATCTCTCCTTGTGGTGTTTGCCAATGGGTTACAGCATGAACCAGTTGATCTAACAACTGTTCCCTACTTGGCTGTGATGGCATGCTACACCAAGATCGAGGACCATCACTAAGCAGATGCGCAGCAATACCAGCTGCGAAATAAGAAACATCAATGTGTTCGGAATCGAGCAGCATAGAAAGCATTTTTATAAACCGAGATTGCATAAGACGTGGTCTTAAATGATCGACCTAAAATTTAAAACAAAGAATTAATAAATTATATCTTAATATATATTTCTTTATATATATTTCTTTAAATAAAAAAATATGTGTGTGCGCGCGCACTTATATTATAGGATTAAACATTTGTATTGAAGTTTCTAATACAAACCTCAGCTATATTGTTTAGCAAACCAAGAACTTTTGTTTCTACACTAGACTCTCCTTGGAAGCTATCCAGTACCTCAAGAAATAATTCCATTCCACCTTCGTCAAGAAAAACTTTGCATGTAGCAGCACTCTCGTCCGTTAAATTCCACAGAGCACTTAATGTAAATTTCATTGTAATATCTACTAATTTGGACTCGACCTTAGATCTAACCATTGCAAGCAGTTTCAACATATATTGCGGTTGTGCACCAAGCATAGATGTTTCCAAAGTCGATATTTTTGCTGCTAATATTGAGCAAATTGCCACAGACATACGATTCATGGATGCATCATCGAACGTTGACAAGCAATTCATAACTAATCTTGCGCATCTGTTAAATTGAAAATGTTTTTTTTAAATATATTTATGTATTATATACTGAAATTTCAATATCTCATCTGTAGACAGTACAGTAGTGTTAACTTACATTTCATTCATTTTATATATGACAAAATTAAATCTATGTAAAGAAATTAAAATTTTTATTTATATTAGTATTAATATATTGTAACTTAATAAAATAAGCTACTTTTGATGATTGCAACATAAATATGAATGGAAATGTAAAGACAATTTACATAGTAAGACCAGAGCATTTTGTCATGATAAAAAAAAATTGAAGAAAAACAAGTTTCATAATAAAACAAAATAATTTTTTACATTTAATGCATGTGCATTTAATAATCTTATTTCATAAAATAGAAAGGTTGAATGTGATTGATAATCTTTCTTTCTATAAAACGTAAAATAAACCAACATATAAAAACATCAATGTACAATAATGTATTGCTAAATCCTAAACTATTCAAATACATATGTGCACATTCTCTTTTATTTTAATGTGATCAACTTCCATTTACAAAAGATAGATATTCTTTTGTTATTATTTATAACATATGTTATTGAGAGTTTGTATATTACAATAAATAACACAAAACAATAATAAAATGATTAAAATGATTAAAATATTGAAATCTCAGCATACACTTTTTACACTTTCAAATTATAAATTTATAAATTTATATAACTACCTATATTTGTCAAATGCAACATCCTGTAAGATTCTATCGCTACACAGGGTCAACAGCGTATTCTTTTGAAGTTGATGATTAGTTGGATATGATTCCATTGCTAATAATGTTAATTCGACTATTTGTTTAAGTATTGATGGATGTATCATGAGAGCTAATTCACCCTTTGTGAGATTATAGATACATGCAGTAGCTGCCATTTGTACACGAAACTCCTGTGGGTGCTCTCTCATTCCAGGTAACACTAATTTTATCACATCGACTCGTGGTTCAAGAAAGTTTGGAGTCAAACGGAATAAGTTAAATAGACATTTTTGAAGATATATTGGTCTGTACGTGTATCTTCTAAGGGCTTCCAAAATTTGAGACTCTGTTGCTGTACCACTGATCTGAAGCAAAAGACAGATACAATGTATATATCATTTCGTAATTTCATCTGTGAAAAATATTTTAATTTCTTTCTTTTTCCTCGTTTAATGTTTTACTGATTATTATTTAATCTTAGTTTAATGTTTTACTGATTATTATTTAATCTTATTTAATTTATATTTGCTTCATTTCTTTCATTTTTTATCTATGTAATGATATGTATAGATGCAAGTTTAGAGTAACAAAATTTTTAGTAAACTTAATTATACAATTAGCAATTTTCCTATATTTGCAAATGGAAATTGATTTCTTAAGATATATATTTGATAGAACAGATGTACGAACAATTGATATCAAACACTGATATTGTAATTTTTCTACATACACAGACATGTATATAACTGTATAGAATATACCTTTAAAATCTAATTTTTAAAGTATAAACGATTGATACATGTGTACAAACACAGACTAAATAAATTTGATATTTTCAATTTCATCAGACGGATTATTTTGAAATAGGAATAAATATTTCCAATGTATCAAGCCAACGATTTTGCGATGATTGAAAATGTCAAATTTAAAATGCAATATGTAATAACAGAATAATATTACGAATAATTTTTAAATAAATAATATGAAACAAATGGATATGAAATAGAAAGTTTTACATAAATAATAGTAGTAATTAATATAAAAACGCCACTACACAGGAAAAATATAACAAATATGATATAACAAAAATATGGAAACTATTTTTTGTTAACTTACAACAAGTTCAGGTCTATAATCTTCATGATTTGAATCTATAAAACTTTCATCGTAACAAGCATCAGAATGCACCAATCCCAGAAACTTCAAATGTACATGTGATGCGATAAATTTTCTTAAATCTTTCGGATTTATATCATCTTTACCTATGCATAATAAATTTTATATTTAATATATGAAATATCATGTAATAATTAACTAATAATTTTATAAAATATAACATACAGCAGATTATTAGCAAATTTAAAATATAAATATCATGTTGCGATACTCACCTGATAAGTCAAGAGTTGCTAAATAAGGCATACAATTCAAAGTTCTGAGAAAGTCCGTTATTTTAGGCTTAGCAGGTGCAAAAACCTCAAAGCCATGTGGATCTTTTTCATCGGAAATGTCTAAATGCCTTAATTCGTTCAGTTCCAGCAATACTGGTATTAAATTTCCACATCCGCTTATCTTTAAATTGTACATATTTAATGTCTTTAAACGATCTTTACATTTTTTTAACGGAGTTATATCATCAACTCTTGTACAAGATATATCTAAGCTCTCTAAAAGGGGAAGATCTTCGACTACTATGTCCAAGCCATGTTTATTAAATTCTGTTCCTGAGACATTCAAGGTATGAAGTGCCTTTAATTTGTTTAATGTTGCGATATCTACCATGCGTTGTCTGTAACAAGATATAAAGAAACAAAAATTATCAACTGTCATTGAAAGCTTTGAATCATAGAAAATTTACTAACAACCTTGAAAAATCCATAAAGCTTCCTTTAGCTACACTTAGCGATCTAAGATTTTGTATACTCCAATCGCCTAAACAACTGATTAAATCGTTAACAGTAATCTTCAGCCCATTTACTATTAAATCTACAATTTTATGTTGCTTAAGAACGCTTAAACCTTTAGCTGATAATGTTGACGCATCTTTCAACCGTACATGCCTAGAACAAAAAATCAACTATCATTATTAAACTTATTTGTTTTCTTCTTTTAAATCAAACTTCGTCACCTTAATCTGGTGGTCTTGGAGTCGAAAAGTGTAATTGTTAAATCGGATAACGTTTTCTTCTCACATAGGTTGGATAGTAATTGCTCTGATACCTCGGCTGGCAAGAAGGCATCCGGATGTCTAAATGTAAGTCGAGTTGCAGAACTGGAGGAAGCATCGTTAGACGATGTTCTACCTGTTGCAGTATTAAAAGCAACATTTGTGCTATTACTGTTTAATATACAGTTATCTCGTTGATCTAAAACTTATGCTGCTTTAATTCTGCAAAGTTGGTATACGAATGCTTGATCTTACACGCCACTTACCGGAGACAATACTATTACTCAGAGTATTGGGAGAATTTGTATCACTAGGATGAACCTTGCACAAGCCGAGAACGTTACCACAGATAAAGTCAATGCAAACCTCCTGGAGACTTCTCGGAGACTCAAACATCTTATGTTTCTGCTGTCATCCGTGCAATAATTCCTAGCCCTTCGTCCTATCGGCTTCCTAAAAAGTGGCCATTTGTGTACTCACGATCTCGTACCTTGGAAGTGAAACATTGAAGAAAACACATGAGTACTTTAACGTATCAACACTTTGATATCCTATCACCTTAGATAAGTCGTAACCCGCGTCTCGGGTTTGCATAGTGCATCAATGTGATGTAAAGCGAGAAGATTAACATTTCGTAGAAGATATATATCAAAATAAATATCACGTGAAACTCATCCGCAAGAGTTGTAGGAGCTTTCTCGCGTAATTAAGTGCCTTCCTACGAGAATCGAACGTCAGCGGGAAGGAGTGAACATAATCCTGCAAGCATAACTTAAGTAACAGGATTTCGGACAAGAATTACGTAATAATATAATTTCGCACGCGAAAGTGGTAAGGAATTCTCGCACCACTCGTGCCACTGTCCGAACACGCTACCTGTCGCACGCTGGGGTCAGAGACAAGGCGCGGTGTTACGCGCGCGAGTCCGCGGGCTCGTTGAATTCGCTCGCACGGCGAGAGTCTCTCGATCGTTTTTGGAGTCACCGCGACGCCGCGAGCGACGTGATCCGTACACGCCTATGAATCCGCGGAGCGATCCCGCTAGGGCAATCGCGAGGAATCGCGGACTCTCATCTGTGATGTTGACGCCATATTGACTCGCCAAATGTCAAAACAGACCAAAAAAAGAGCGCAGTCGTGTCGCGCGTGTCGTCGTCGTCGTCATCGCCGTCGTCACCGCGCGGTGCGATGCGACGGGTCCGCATGCATCGTGTCGTGGCTTCGTCACAGCGTGGCGCGACGTCAGAGCAAAGCGGAGCGGGCGTATCTCTCGGCTGCCAGCTGATCTCGACGAGAATCGAAGTTAATGCCGATTTCTCGCGCGCGCGAACGGCCGCGAGCTCCCCGAACCTCAGATTCCCCCTCTCTCGCGACCCAATCCCCACTCTGTCAAACGTGTAACGTATCTCGGCGTGAACGTCCGAACGTGACATCCGCCGGCGCCGCTTCATCGCCCATGTTAATAATCGCGATCGTGCGAGTGACGTCGCGTCGACTTCCATGTATGCACGAGTGAGCTGTGAGAGACGCAGGGGTGGATGGGAGGAGCGGGGGTGAGGGGGTGATCCGCCTCGTCGTCGCTCGCCCTCGTCGCAGCCGCACCGCGCCACGGCTCGTAGTTGCGCGGGCGATTCACGCGAGCGGCAGCGAGTCGGTTCAGTTGGCTATCGGCACATCACCAATATGGCGGTGAGGCGGAAAGCGACGGTTTCGCGCAACGTGCGTCGTGATCTCATTCCCATGCAGTGAGAACTTTCCCAGGTAACTGTTCCATTGTTAAATCGCGCGCGACGCACTCGACGGTCGGATTCTCCTATGTCCCCTCTCGGATCCCACCTCGAGAATCGAGATTCGTCTCCAATTGACGTGCGCGTTTAGCAAAAAGAGTGCCTTGACACACGTTGAACTGTCAATAAAAGGACACTGCGGTCCGAATCCTTAGACCGAGGAGAAGATTTGTTCCTCAGGCTTCTTTGTGTGTTGTTTAAGAGATAATTATAACTTCAATTCGTGGACAATATGAGTCTGAGATATGTATGTACGTGCGTTAAATTGATTTTGACAGTTTCCTCTCGTGATGTATTGTATAAAATTCTATATATAAATATTACGAGATGCAAGTGTATAATCAATTTATCGCACATACACGTATCGATCTCGAGTTGGTGTTACAGTTATCTATCAATAAACCAAATTGATTTTGTTCATTTATTTTCTAGTGTTCTTTGATTAATAAACAGTTTATTTTCAAAACTGTTTAAAATACCGAAAATAATCTAAAAATAATTTGAACAATATTTAATTCATAAATATCATTCTTCGTAATTATTGTTAATTTTATGTAATTATTATTATGTAATTATTTTTTTAAATAAAAAATTAATTAATTTTTAAACTGATGCATTCTCTTTCATATTGTCTTGTTACATATGTCAATTCTATATTAGTATATGCTTATTGTTATAAAATTTTATAACATAGTCTTATGGATTTTTTTAGATTTAATCTAAGACCTGTCTCTAGCAGCTAACCATGGTATGAGCCTTACATCAGATGAAGTAATGTTAGACAATAATTAACATTCTTAATTGCTGTATTTTTGCTTGGATCTTTTTAAAAGATGCCAAGTTTACGGAAGAAAGTTGCCGGTTTCATGCGCCAATTGTCTATTAGTAATTTGGCTGGAGCTGTAGAAAGTATAGGTCTCGGAGAACAGCCGCTTCGAAGCCCACAATCATTAACTCAAGACTTTCCTGGCGGCTGTTTTATCACGCGCTACCTCAATGGGTAAAAAACGCATCCCGATACTCTGATTTATTTCTTTTTCATTTATCCAACATGTAATCTCTGTAAATGAATATATAAATGTTTTAGATTAGAAACGAAACAAGAAGGACCAGCAATTTTACATGGCCGAAATCCAGAAGAATTGCCGAGCAGGCAGATCGATGTTTTTCAAGAAAATGAAGAAGTATTCGCGGCCTACACGGGTCCTGATAGTGGTCTTACTGCAGTCAATCTTCAACAAAAACATTTAAGTATTAGTGATACTGATATAGATTACATTGATATGCTAGATCAAAATGAGCAATATAGAAGCGGTGAGTTCAAAATAAAGATGTCAATACATAAAACAGATTACCTTTTATCAGATTACATGGAAAATTAAAATGTAGAACTTTCCTCAGGATCGACAACATCAAACGTCACAATTGCTGGAGTTACTGATTGGTTTAATCCTCATGAAAACGCATACGGAATTGCGACCACGCTATATGAGAAAAATCCTATAAATGATACTAATAACGGCGAACCAATAGCTGATTGTTTTGGCGTTGTAGCAAGACCAAACTCTGCCATATTGGCTCTCGCGGATGGTGTCAACTGGGGTAAAAGAAATACAAATATAAAAATATATAACATGAGCTGTTATGAAAAGCAAGACGAAACGAAATACAAGATCAATTGGAAATTTCAGGTACAAAAGCGAGTATAGCAGCTAGATCTGCAGTTCATGGAAGCATAGAGTATTTGAATCGAGCTCTGTTCTGTCCATCTATAAATAGTGAAATGACAACGACAAAGGATGTATTTATAGCATTACTTCGATCATTCCATGCAGCACATTCGTTGATTCTTCAAGAACAAGGAATGCTTACTACCTTAACAGTATGCACAATCCTTCCACTGCCAAGTTCGAGTACTGATACAAATATATGCCAGAAAAAGTATATTGCGTGTACCTGCAACGTTGGTGATAGTTTAGCCTATGTATATTCAGGGTATGTATTATTGCGCTCTGAATGAAATAAATTGCAGCAGAGATAATGAGTTAGGTCGTATGATTTGATAATCATCTCTTGTGTGAAAACGAAACAGGAAGACTGGAGTGAGAGAAATAACGCGAGGATCTCACGATATTCATTGCATGCGAGACATGCGAGATGCCTTAGGAGCTCTAGGTCCAGTAGACGGCTCTAATCCTGAATTGAATAACTTAACGCTGGCTATAACAGAAGTTGAGAGAGGCGATATAGTATTTCTGACAAGTGATGGAATTTCAGATAATTTTGATCCTGTGGTGGGAAAATTTGCAGTTTTGCCCAATCACAGCAGTGGCACGGATGCCACGCTAAAAAGTCACGATGCGAGATCGAAGACGCGTCGAAGGTCCACGGAAAATTTACGGCACACGGAATCGAGTAATAGTAACGTAAACAGCAACAATCTGCCGGTGGTCGAGGCCTATCAGAGGCATGAACTCACGCTGCTCAGAATGGAAGATCTGCTGAGACGTGGAGTTTCTGGGGAAGGACCACCATGTAACAGTGCCAAACATTTATGCGAACTTCTTTTAGACTTTGCGGTGAGTGTTAAGTGTTTTGTAATAATTGTATGATGTCTTTACTGACTGCTGTTTCGTCCACAGGTACGTATAACTGCAGCGAAAAGGCGGATCTTGGAAGACACGGAGTTATACTATGCACAACACAAAGATGGTCACTTGATACAGCTCTCAAAGCAGGAGCAAAGATCTCGAAGGAAAAGGACTCTGGAAAAGATATCGATGATACCCGGTAAGCTAGACCATGCGACGGTCGTAGCTTACGTAGTCGGATCCTAAACTTCTTCAAAGTGTAATTGCAATTAACAATAGAGAGAGTATAGTTTTTATTCACATAAAAATGATAGATTAACTTTCTATACTGTAACATTCTTACCTAGTGTTAAATGAAAGATAAAAATATATCTTTTGACAAGCCAATGTCAAGTTATTTTTCTTTGATTCCTAACTTTTCTTAAACTTTATAAATTTGATTTAATGTATATTTTTAGACCTATAATAGATAACGAATGCTAGCGTCAAAAGAAATACATTAGAAATACATTTGACATTTTTGACAAAGACACGTATCCTTTTTTTTTTCCTCATCGAATCACGTGAGTCAAATTACGAAATACCGCGCGCGACACACGTCGATTTTCCCCTCGCATTCCTTCCAACTGTCTTGTATCTTCGTGGTTGCAAAAAGTTACGGCGCGAGGACGCGAGGCGGCACCAGCGGCGACGGCTGGTTCCTTATTGCGCCACGCCGATGGCAGCCCTGGCAAATACATGATGGCCGTTGCCACCGAATAGTGTAACGCGTACATGGTATCGTCGTGTAACTGAAAAGTTTATTATTTTCAGTGGAGCATCATCGCGTCGCGCGTGCTCCGTGTGCGTTGTTTTCCTCTCGACGAGGTGCGGCGAATCGTGCCGGAACGCGGGATCACACAGAGCGAGGTCGCGCGTGAGCGTGAAAATTCCCAGGAGAAAAACACGGGGTGGCAAAACCGCGTTCGCGTAGGTAATATTGACAATTTTTCGTCGCGACGCCACGCGCATTTTTGCGCGTCCGTCACCGTGCACGCGCGTCGCGGCGCCGCGCGCCGGCCTCCCCGGCGCCGCGGAACTCGTCATTTCGCCTAGATGCGAGCGTATTCTTTTGTTTACGCCTTGTCAAGTCTGCCCCTTTTGTTGTATGCAATCGCGCGCCGCTTCCACCTCAGTGAGTGAGAGTGAGCCGTGTGTGATTCCTCCCCGTATGCGTGTGTTGGTGGTGGCTTGTGTGGCACGTATGTATACCTCGCGCACACAGGCGCGCGCGCGCGCTCCTGGCTTATAACCTCAAAATATACTTCCAGCTGGCAAATTTACGCACGAATCCCGTAACGTTTCGTCGGGATACCCCGACTCCGCCGGATTATCACACGTCTCGGGGTCCACCGACGTTTTGAAACGCGATGACGCTCGCGCCGTTTCGCAGACCCCCGCGCGCATACTTTGCCGCAGTAAACGCGCTTCCCGCAATTCCCGCGACTTCGGGCCCGGCCTGACCGCGCAACGGAACCGCGAGAACCCAGTTGTTTCTGCTCGCGCTTATTTTTCGCGCGAGACACTTAAAGCCGCAACAGCTAATGGCATTTTCCCGCTTCTTCTTTCCAGAACAAGAGTCGGCAAAATCTTGTGCCAGAGTAAGAGCACAGCAGTGCGTCAGGCAACGACAAGCATATCTTTCTTAAGAGGAAACGATTATATCTCAAGGTGATTATCGCGCGAGCGAAAGCGTAATGTTGTGACATTATACCCTAGCCATTGACAAACATTCAAGAATGTCTGTGAGTTACTTCCTGGATCTGGGATAGTGTGCTAACACGATAAGAACTGTTACTCGCCGAATGATTTTCGACGGCTGTTCCCCGCGTCTTATCCTGAACGTGTCATGGACAAGCGTAGCATTACTGCATCTATAAATGGATAAGATCCTGTGGCAGATGCCTTTTAAGTATAAGTCAGGATATATTCACGATGCAATTGCGCAGTTGTTCTTTAATGGATAAAGTAGTTCAGGAAGGAACTACTTTTTATGCACAGCGAAACGATGCCCGTGACGGCCACGAATGGTTAATGCTGGAGCATCATTAACTCGCAAATACGCAAGCATTTCAAAGAATCAACACGGTCCTGCCTGAGCTTTGGAAGAAATACGAAATTATATGCATGACAGGAACAGGAGACATAGGTCGCAGACGTGTTGAGTGGCGCCGAAACGCAAATATTGCTTGCTGCAACTGTTAAATAATTTCGGTAAATAAATACGTATTAATAATGTCTATAATTTAATTTACAAAATTCTAGGTTATATAAAAATTATCAGTGCAATTATTAGTGCTCTTTTAAATTTTAACTTATACATTAAGATGCATTTTAATTGTATTTGTGATATTATTATTAATCTCTTTATTATTAATCTCATTTAATTTTAATAAATATAAAATTTTCTTATACAAGTCAAAATTGGATCGCTTTGAGAGTTAATTATTTACATATTATATTTATATAGATATTAACTCTAACAATTTTTTATAAATTTCTGAACTTGTATTAAATAAGTACATTGGAATTTCATTTATATTAGGAAAGAACAAAATAAGCTGGAAAGGTGGCTAGACGCTGCCCATAGTAAAGAGGGGCTGCGTGGGCATGCAGCAGCCTCAGTCACGCCCTCTTCTTGGGGACTCAGTATCCTCTACAACTTCCCCGAATGCGCGTCACAATAATCCAGTTACTGTTTTGACCCAACAACAAGTAAGATTTTGTAAAAATTTTATAGATTTGCTTATTTCTGTATGTATTCTCTTTTTCTTTATATATTCTTCTCCTTTACATACCTTCTTATTATAGCTGCAACAATTACAACAATTACAAAATAGCAGTGGCCAATCGCTAACGTTTGCTTTGCAACAGACATCGAACAATGTAAGTTGCCTTTATTGATAATTAAAGAATTTTTTTAAGACTGTCATTCTCTAATGTCATTGCTTGATCTTGCAGCCACAAGAGCAAGGAAATGGGTCGACAACTGGAAATCACATAGTCTACGTAAACCAGTTGAATCAATTAAATCAGAGTACCATAAATCCCTCGGGGACTGGTATGGGCCTACCCCCGGCCACCCCCACTTTTGGGGTGGGCCTTAATATGGGATTGCCACTGTCACTTCTAAATACCAGTCTTACGTCTCTCACTTCCAATGTTATCACCACATCAAATCCTCTGCTGAATTTGGGCTTGCCAAGCATAAATACAGGGCTAACTACGATAAATCCTAGCCTGAATCACTTAAATGCTATTAATTCTAATCTGACATCCAATATTGGTTCAAATAATATTAATAACAGTTTGTCCAACTTGGGACAAGATTTGAATAGTATAAACACGGGAGTAAATACCGGAATAAATAGGCTCAATACGATAAATTCTACAAATATTAATTCTGGGCTATCTGGAGTAAGCACCGGACTGACCGGTGTAAATCCAAATTTAACAAATCTAAACTCATCGAACGTAAATCAGAATCTTACTACATTGAATACCAATTTAACCGCCGCAAATTCCGGCGTGTCTGGTTTATCTGCTATTAATCCAAATACGAATTTGACTGCTACCAGTATAAATTCTGGTGTGAATCAAGGTCTCAACCGATCCGCAAATGCTCTGGCAACTGGTTTGACGCCAACTAGTTTGAATTCTAGCAGTGCACAGTTTCCATTCCAAACAATACAAAGCATCCAGACTATTGCACCACACATCGTTGCATCGTCAAATATAGCACATGTACCAAACTCGGCTATATCGCAACATCCCAATTCGAACATCTCAACAATTTCACAAATCTCGAATTCTGGGACTCTGACGAGTCCTAGCATATTCACGAGCACTCCCAGTGAAACGATTCATGCAACCACTGCAAATGTGAATCACGCTTCAAACGTGAATCTCACTACGAACATACCGCACCTTGGTACAATGCACCCAAATTTATCAAATATATCGACGTCGAATGTACAACATATATCCGTATCGAATGAACCGATTATGTCATTGAGTCATGTTTCTTCTTTAAGTTCCTCCCAGTCGACTGGATTTCAACCACAGCGACAGTATTCACAGGGGATAAGCCCTGGATTAAGTGCGTCAGTAGCATTAACAGGCACAACACAACCGTCGAATGTGGTCAGTACTATGAATACTGTTAAGACTATGCAAAATATTCAAGGTCAAAACATTAGCTCGCCGGGCAGTCCGTTTTCAATACCCTTGAAAAGTCCAGCGTCTAATATAGCACCACCTACGCCAAGTCCTAGCCCTAACCGACTTTTACTTAGAAGTCCGGCTTCGAACTCGATACAGTCCAATCGGAATAGTCCAAGCCCAGTCAGCACATCAACATCGAACAGTAACTTTAATATGCAGATGCAAAGTCCCATGCAGAGCCCGATGAGCGTTAGCCAAATACAGAGTCCTGTACTTAGCCCATATCCCCCCGCAAAAAGCCCTCATCTATTAAGCGGGAATAATTCTCTCAACAATAGAAGCCCAGCACCTGGAGGTAGCCCTGGTCCACCTGTGGTAAGGATACTTGTAAAGTTAGAAATCTATTAGAACTCTATTGCAATTAAATTGTTTTTTGCAATTTTCAGTATAAGATACATTTTAGTGATTTTGTCAGAATGCTTGCTAATATCTTTCATCTTTCATAAATTTCATCTTTTTTTACATTTTAATTTTATTTTATTTACGAACATTTTATATATGTTTCGTATATAAGAATATTTTCATTATCATATTTAAATCTGAGATCTTTATCTCATTTGTGTTATAACTATGTTTAGATGACTATATTATTTTTTCTATTTTTATTTAATTTATTTGCTATAAATAAGAATTTGATAATATAAAATTAAATTATTCATTCATTAATACATTCTTTTATTTTTCATATGTTTTAGGTTAGGCCTAATACACCCATATTGCAGCAGGGAATGCAGGTGTTACAAATAATTCATGGTACACCACAGGGTTATCAGTCTACTCCAACTCAGCTGATGACTAGGACCCAATTATTTGGAAATCAGCAAATACAAATAGCGGCGAGTAAGCCTACCAAACAACCGCCCCAAATTCTACCAAAACCACCAAATCAACAAACTACTACTTCTCAGCAAAAGTCACAGAGAGCTACCACTACAATTACAAACCAGGTATAATTTGATTCTTTATGCTGATTATATTATTTATATTTTACATTATTTATATTTATTTTTTATTTTTTTTATTAATTTATTAAATAATAAATCATATAATAAATTATATCTGATATATCTTCAATCTGTTATTATATAATTTTACAAAGATTATTTTTAAAAAATGTTTACTTCAATTCTGTTAATAATAACATATATTAATGTATTTAACAATACGATGAGATATTTTACATTACATCAAAGTATATTTCTTTCTTTATAGGTAACACAGCAGAGTCAACCACAAATAGTTCTTGCTGGACCACAACCTAATCCTACTACAGCGACAATGATTCCAACAGCACAGGGTTTGCTACTAAATCAGGTATATTATATATAGCTCTTATATATCTCTATATTATTTCTCAAATATGTCTATATATCATCTGCATATCCATTGTATAATTACATAAATATATATACATCACAATGTACTGTTGAGGTACTTTGATACGCTTTATTTACTACAACTGCTTATGTGCATTTCTATTATCATAGAAAATTGCTTTTTGCAATTTCATGCTTCATACTTGTTACATTTGGTATATAGGTATTGCCGTCTACTGGACCTGTTATTGTACAGCAACAACCAGGAAGCGTTCAACTTATACTAAGGACACCACCAAGCGCGCAGCAACAAACGCATACTACACAGGTGATGGTTTCATCCATTCATGCATCTTCATATTCACATTCAGATTCATCGCTTATTAAAAAAAATTTCATGACTATTAAGATGATTTCGCATTTCCTGTCGATAAAAAAAATCATAAAAATATTCTTATATAATAAAAAGTATT